ATTTTTTGGAACTGGAGCGTGAGGCAGAGGCTGCTTCTCTATGTGAGCCGTTCGAATCACTAGTTGAGGAAGAATCCCTTGATTTTCATTCCGGTCCACCAGTGGACCTCCAGCACCAGCAACGACCAACGTGGGCGAGGTTGACCGATAAAGTATAATCAATGCAAGTGATTTGGGTTCAATTATACACATTTAACCCTCATACCTTGATAGTTTGGCTTTGCATTTCATCGTCCCTCGATATATTTCACGCTAGATTGTGCTTGTTTTGATACATTTCAGGTCCTAGCACGTGTGGGAAGGTCGAGGACGAGTTTCGGGTTGATTGGAGGTCGAAAAGTGCCAAAAAGTGAAAGATCGTGACAATTGCCCCGTAACCATGAACATCGAGGCGTCCAGCGAGGTTCCAAAAGTTACTGGCGCCAAGGGAGTTCACGATCTCTAAGACCGTGAACTTGGAGCAAAAACCGTGAACCCAAGAGAGTGAAGCGGTGCATTTTGCAGACGACACTGAGTTCACGGACACGTTTAGGTGTTCACGGCCGTGAACTGGCCAACGCGGCCGTTAACTGGTCACTTTCGGGCAAATATGAAGACAATAACGGGGGAGAGAGAAAGGGGAGCTGGTTTTGGGAGAAAGAACACTTTCTTTCTCTAGGATTTCAATCCAATACACCAAAGGGGAGTTCTAGTGAGAGAGGAAGTGATCTTGGGGCTTAATTGAAGGCATTGATCAAGCGTGGAAGCTAGGAATCAAGCCTAGAAGAAGAAAAAGAAGATCTATAGGTTTCTTTGTAATCTCTCATCTCTCTCTAGAAACTCACCCTCTTCTCTTGGGTTTAAGAACCCTAGGTCTAGATTTGGGTTCAATGTTGATGTATGTGACAAGCTCCATGATTGGTTGATGATTTTACTTAATTGATGGATGTTTTCTTGAATGACATGAGTTGGGGTTCCATCTTCATGTATTGAGCTTTTGACCTAGGAGGGAGATAATCCCCTTAGAGCCCCCTTTTGGCGTCTTCGGGTCACTCCTATCGTATATTGTTTGGGTAGTCCCCGAGGGAGTTGATTCGACCGGTCTCCTAGCATTATACGAAACCCTAGGTTAAATAAAGCACTACCCATCCATCGATTCGTCGTTCCGGGTCATTCCCGAGGGAGTCCATCTCCAAGCGGTTGTGCATTTGAGTCTATCGAGCTAGGAGGATACCCAACATCGATCCAAAGGACGAACCTATGACGATTCAACCCAAGTGAGCTCTCACCTTTTAAATAGTTGAGTTAGTGGTTAGTCAAGGTTAGTTAGTTTAATTCTATCAATCACTATCCTAGGTTGGCTAGATAACGAACCCTAAACCTAAAGTATGATAAGCCTAGATCCCCATGTTACGATAATTTCTTATTGCTTGCTTTCCCTATGCTACACCCGGTCGTCGGTTATACTTGGCCGTCGACTGGGATGTTGTAGTTAGAACGAGTCAGCAAGACTTCGTCGAATCGATCATCAAAGTCGTCGAGATAACTTGTGTTGTTCGCCAGCTGAAGCGATTGACCTTTAACACTGGTAGCTAAATCTTGTAATTGAACATAATTTCTTCATAATCTTTGACCAGTAGCCATTTGTGTTCATCCATGGCGATTGTGTGTGTCCTCATGTGTGTGTTGATCTCCTTCAGTCTCGTTTCCACCATTGTTGTGCGATTCGTAAGTGAAACCAGATGCTCTTTTGTTTGCAATGTCACCATCTTGTCGAGGGACAACCGTCAGCTCTGATACCACTTTTCAATGTCCCAGTTTGATGGATCCAAATTCGACTCACAAATTGGAAATGGTGGTGATGAAGATTGCTCGTCCAATGCTCGAGTTGCACAAAGAAGAGAAAAGGGAAAAGCAATAGAGAGAAGAGAGAGAGAAAGAGAAGAGCAAGAGGAGGGAAAATATGTTATTCATCCAGGACGCGTGTACTTCTATCTGTCCTGGTCAATTACATTTTGACCCCAAAGTTTGTAATTTCACTTTAACAGTTTAATACCCAACTTCTATTTATTTACAATCAAGGACCAATTGTTACAAATTCTAATGAGAATCGGCGACCATGTTTAATGTTGTGAGAAGTACGTACGAGTTGGCTGAAGTTGTTTTCAACGAGGAAGACTTTAAAGAATTATGACGAGAAGCGTCAAGCAGTTCCGCTTTCTCGGTCCGAGAAGTGCATTGTTGGAACTGGATTGGAACGCCAAGTGGCCCTCGATTCTGGGGCCACCGCTATAGCCGAACATGAGGGGCGGTGACTCTCGGCGGTGGTGGCCATGTTCAATGTTGTGAGAAGAGATAGAAACCATGGTTGTCACGCCAGTGGCAAGCCGGTCGGTTGAACCTGGTTCAATCGATGCCGGTCATGAAACCGGCGTGAACACCACCGGTATGACCGACATGATTGATTTATGACCGCTAAGTAAAATGACATTATTTTAATAAATTTAATTAATTATTTTTTATGAGTTTAGAAATTAAATATTGATGATATTTGTTGGATTCAAATATAAACGTTTAGGTATTGAAGTTAAATGTTGTATTTAATATGAGTATTTGTTATTTTATGTGACACATTTTATCTAAATATGAATATGAATTGGAAGTTAATTATTTTCAAATATTGTTTATATATGATTAAATTCATTTGATATTAATTACTTTTCACATTTATACATATCGAAATGAAACTATACAATTGAGTATAGGATCGATCGAACCATTTCACTTGCTAAACTAATGCAATGATATAAACCGCCACCGGTTTGGCGCGCATATGTTCGTTTATAGAAAATGGGGCGGGGGAGGTAGGGCTGCTAATGAACCAAGCCGCTCATGAACAGCTCGGTGTGCGACTCGAGAAAAACTCGTTCAACACTCGATTCGTTTTAATCGAGTCGGCTCGCGAACAAGCTGGTTAACTAAACGAGCCAAACTCGAGCCATACCATGTTAAGATCGAAAGCTCGTGAACAAGCTCATTTAATGGTTTGGCATAACAAAAAGGATTAGAATTCATGGATTTTATGTATTGAAATTGGGATAAATATTGTGTTTTACTTTGCTAGACTCTGCTACAGGTTTGAATGTAATTTTGTGCACAGTTCTAGGTCAATCTTGAGCTATCATGAACATTTTATGAGTTGAACTAGATTTTGGGCTCGTTAAACTTATTTGACGAGCCGAGTCGAACTCGAGCTTTCATTTTTATAAACAAGCCGAGCTCGAGCCTGGAAATATATTAACGAGCCGAGCCCGAACTATGGCAAAGCTCGGCTCGACTTGGCTCTTTAACAGCTTAGTGGAGGGGAAGGGGATGTTGATTTGACTAACTTGAACAAATAAAAAGCCGGGCTGACCATCCATCACTAGTATAAGTATGACCGCACTTAACACTATTGCTGTCCATGCAAAGTGATCAGATGGCTCTCACCGGCGGCCGGAGACGCGACGGCAATGGCAGCCCCTTGGTGGCCGGAACCCGGTTCTTCAAAATCATCCTTCAGAGCACACTTTGTGACAGAAAGCTCGTAAGGATAACCAACCCTTCAATAAGTTCCACCTATTTAACCAAAATTGATTTTGCCAGCTTCGTTTTGTTCACTTGCATGCTAAACTTTGCAGTTGATTCCTGGTGAATTCGTCCGAAATTGCGGCGAGTGCTTGCTGGAATCCGCTATTTTGAAGGTCCCAAGTGGCGCAACATGGGCGGTGGATGTGGTTAGGGACGAAATCGGGGTCTGGTTCAGCAATGGATGGCAGGAATTCGCAGAGTTCCACTCTTTGGGATTTGGGCATTTTCTGGTTTTTGAGTATGAGGGTTGCTCCAGGTTCTCTGTGGTTATATGTGATAAGACCGCCGTTGAGATTGCCTACCCAATTTCTACGACTTCTGAACCAAATGTCGAAGATATTGAGGATTCCTTTGATACACGCATAAGAAAGAAGTCTAAACCCTTAAGTGAGGTTTCTCCGCGTCAAGCTAAGAACAAGAAGAAGAGGATGAGGGGTAGTATTTCTGCTGAGAATGCTGCAGAAATGGGATCTTGGACACGGATTGTATCCCAGGCTGATGGTTGTAAGAGGGTTTAAGTTTTAACGTATTTGTTGTTGTTGCTGCTGTTGTTTCTTCCGACATCGGAATTAGGACTCTTCTCATGTTGTTTTTGTTGGGTTTCATGATGCCGGGATGATGCATATTCTGAAGCTGATGATGAACAAGATGGCGAGTCTAAGAGGATGCCCTCGTGCGCGAGGCAATGTAGAGCTATCACCGGATTCACCTCACCACATCCGTTCTTTGAAGTCCAAATCACTACGAGTATGCTGAAAAAAAAGAGGCTTCTGGTACTTCTTCAATTGAATTGCATAAGCTTGGCCGGTTGTGTTTTGTGGTATTCATACCCATGTGGCTAATTTTTGGTTTTTTTTTTTTTTTTTTGCAGCATGTGCCACAGAGCTTTTCATCTAGGCACATTCCACAGAATGAGAAGGTGGTTGAGCTCCAGGTTAGGGATGAAACTTGGTCTGTTGCAGTGGTTAGGAAGCAGAACAAGTATGTTAAGTTTGCAGGTGGCTGGCTAAGGTTTGCGAAAGAGAATTTGGTCAAGCCGGGGAACTTTTGTGTCTTCGAGTGCATTCGCAGGTGGCCTAATGTGATCCTGAAAGTCACAATTGTGAGAGAATGTGTTTAATTTTAGATTCTGCCTGTTGTTTGTTGTGTCACACTGGTGCTTTTTTTGGCTTTGCTTGTGTGGAAATTTTGCACCAGGGCAGAAAACTTGTTAATGCTTCATATGGACTGAGGATGCATGATATCAGTTTGCTTTGCTTTATTTGTTTCTTCAGTTCCATTTCTCTGTGTTCAGCTGCCAATGATTTAGTGAGAAAAGGAAACAGTGATCATATAACTAATCTCTTCCATTTGGGCGGGAACAGGAAGTGTAGTTCTGGTTAGTTTTTTTATCTGCACTAATAGCAGCAAAGGGCTCATCTAGATCCTTGGATGATCATATCGACAATAATCCAACGGTTCATAATATAGTACCACCATGGTCCCCCAGATTTTCCACAATTAGAATCGCACATACCTGCACCAAAATAACAGTTTTCAGCAAAGAGAATGAAAAAAGCAAGCAGCTCCCATACTACATGAGGCAGCCTGCTAGGGATTCATTTCAGGCATCCGAGTAACTCATTTTCTTTTCCTCTCTTTATCTTCCCTCTTGCAAGTTTTCTCCTTCTCCTTTCCTTCTTCAAACCCTACAAAGCAGCAAGTGTTTCTCCTCTGGAGTTTGAGATATCTTGCTGCCTGAAAACCAACATCAAACATGGCTCATTTCTTGAAGCATGTCACTGAGGAGACAGTGGCACTGAAGAAACTGGTAAGCCATTTAAAGTTATGTCCTTTTTCATGTTCAAGATTCCACTTAGGGTTTTGTAAACCTTGTTAACTCACTGCCAAACTTTACCTGTTCTTTTATGTATCAGCTGATTCCACCAGAGTTTGTCAGTAAATGTGGGAGGGTAAATCTGACCAACCCAGTAGTATTGGAACCAACTGTTGGAGATCCGCTGGAGTTAGAGGTGGAGCTTTATGAGGATACTAGCGGGTTTTGGCTGAGGAATGGTTGGCAAAAGTTTGCATATCAGTATTCTCTCAGGAAAGGCCACTATCTTGTGTTTGAATACAAGAGCTACTCCCGGTTCAAGCTTGTGATGCTTGGTGCAAATGGCCTGGACTTGGAGTTTCCAGCTTCTAGGTTTGTCAACGTTTGATCCAATGGAAACCAGGAGTTTCCGGAGGCCGAGGAAGTAGAAAAGACAGTCAATATAGACTCTTTGGAGTTCTTAGGTTGCTTATCGTAACAGAAGTCCCTTATTCTTTGGAATCTCTTTTGTTCTTTTAGGTTATTATGGTTTGGCTTTTGTTGACTTTTGCAGGCACTTCTCTGGTTCAGGACATGAACAGAAGCAACAATAACGGAGTTGGTGGAAGACAGCAGGAACATCTGCAGTGTGGTGAAAATGCCAAGCTCAATGAGTGCACAAGTGCTAGTGACTGTTGGTTCAGCACATAAACAGGGAAGGAAGAGCTCAATTTTGATCATCCTTTTTCATCAATGTCTACAGGAAAGAGAAGACCTAATGACGATGGAGGGAAAAGGAAAGCAAACTGGGAAACTTCAAGGAGGGGCAGAGGTAGCGGAGGTTTGAACTATGCAGATTTGCTTTCTAAGGTTTACAGAGATGTATGAAGTTTGAGTTGCATGAATGTATTATTATACAGACAAGCCAATTGCGAAGACACATATCAGCAGTCAAAATGTCGAAACTAATGGAAACCAGGACTTTACGGAGTCTCCAGAGGAAGAAGATTATGTAGATGCAAGCTATGTGGAATTAGGTCGATTGTCATTTCAATTTTTTTATTCTCGTATTAATCATAACAAACCCCTTGTTGTTCTTTGTTTGTGCCTGGAATGTACCAAGCGGTTTTGTGAGACTCCACTAGCCTTGGGCGTCTTCGATGGTCGAGGGCGGTCTCCGAAACCCTGCAGAAAGGTCCTCAGGGGGTTCCTGGGACCTCCTCCGATGCCTAAGTTAGAGAGAGAAGTGAGATATGAATAAATAAGAGAGAGAATGAAGTAGGTCGAAGTTACCATTAATGTGACCCGAGGTGGGTATTTATACTAGTGAGGGTTGAGGATCAGGGCATTTAATGCCATGTCGGGCGGTCCTGGACCGCCTGATCCCTGATCCCCTGAGACTGTCAGGTTTGTACTTCTGTCAGTCTTTGTACGAAATGCTCAGAGGTTGTCCTTCTTCTCCTGTCGGGCGGTTCTCTGAGGTCCCGTTGCGGGAGTGTCGGGCGTCCTTCCGGGTCGGTTTTACTGAGGCAGGCCGCCCTTTGTGTCCATTTGGGCCGGACTTGGTTGTCTGGTGGGCTTTTAGGCAAGTCATGGGCTTGGGGCCCGTAAGTCTTAACCGCTGTCCTAACATTTGCCCCTTAGGCGTGAGAGGCTTTAGGCTTTCGCGGCTAATCGTCCTTTGCCTTTGTGAAGCGGTTTAGGGCCGCCTTGCCCCTGACTGCCTGTCCTGCCCCTGGCCGCGAGGGCCTAGAGCGGGATCGCCTGAGGGGCGGTTGTGCTCATGTTTCGTTACCTCGCTTTTGCCACTAAGCGCCACTTGACCGCTTATCGCGTCGTGGCTTGCTTGGCGTGTGCCTAAGGCTATAACGCGTCGGGCATTGAAAGGGAATCCGTGGCGGTTCCCGCCTCCCGTTGCTTTTTTCGCAACGTGTCAGTTTTCGGGTGCGGAGCCCCTGACGTCAGGAGGCAAAACGTCATCTCAGAGCCTCGGTGCGCGAGCTGTGTCACTTCGGGATTTTGAATTTCCCCTTTTTCGCTTTAAATGTGTGGGGAAAAGGATTTTTTCCGCCAATTCTCCTTCTTGTTTTAGAAACCGTTCGTCTTCTTCCTTGCTCTTCCCCCTGTGAGCTGTGCAGAGCTCGTGGCCGACGACCCCTATAAAACCCGATCGGCGAATCAGGTAAGTGCCGAAACTCTCCTTTTCTGGCGGCGGAGCCTCTTTCTATTTTCGAGCCAGCCTTGTTGACTTGCTTCTCCTTTCTTCCCGAATCGCGCCGCCGTTATTGGCGGCCGATTCTTCGTCGTCGCAGATGTCTGGAGAAGCGTCGCCCCCGCCGTCCGAGGCCGGCGCGCATGGCGCCGCCGTTCGATTGAGCTCCTCCGCCGCTGAGTCCCCCCCCGTGGTTCGTCTCGAGAGGGAGCCTTCGAGCTCTGCGGCGCCATTGGCGGTCCCGCTCTCGGGAAAGAAGCCTTCGGGCGCTGCTTCAACCGCCTTCGCTTCTCAAGGTACGAACTGCTTTTCACCCATTCGAAATCCATCCGAGTGCGTGTGGGATTTGTCTGGCCTAGAGTTATATGTTGGAAGTGCTTCTGAATTAGACGATTGTTTATTCGGGGATTGTGTCGACTTGGATAACGATTGTGCTAACATGCGCCCTGTACCAGTTGGGGTTGTGGCCACGTCATCCGCTGTGGGGGATAACTTGGGTGAATTTGAGCGGGTAGGATTAGGTAGTGTGTCGTTGGAAGAAGATGTTGAGGTAAGCAGTGATGGTGATCGCTCGGAGGCGTCTATTAGTACTGCCTCGTCTTTGGAGGTGTCGGAGTCAGGCGACCCTGAACCGCTCTTGGTAGCCGTCCATGACTCGGTTTACACTGTGTTGCACCATGCTGGGATGTGGGAAGGGGAGTCTGTCCCTTCAGGCGTGTTTGAGCAAGGTCCGAAGAGTTCACGAGCGGTTTTCAGGCCCGAGCAAGTGTTACACAGGCTGAAAGCGCTCCGCATGCCCCCTGAGTGGCAGTACGCGGTCCCTTCCAAGACCAGCCGATCCGGGTCCTGCCCCAGCGGTTGGATTCCTATCCTGGTGGAGCATGTAAAGTTGGGTTTGCGGTTCCCGCTTGACCCCATTTTGACCAAGACCCTTCATTGGTTAAATTGCACTCTTGGGCGACTTTCCCCGACGATCATCTTCCACTCAGTGATGTATCGTCTGGCCTGCGACCGCATCAAGGAAGAGCCGTCATTTGATGCTTTCAGATTGATTTACAACATCCGAGACTCGCCCAACTGTTGGTCGATCGGGAGAAGGGAGAATGCGGTCGGGTTCATTACGGGGGCACCCAAGTTGGACTCCCCTTGGTATAGAGAGTATTTCTTCGCCAAGCCATCCTGGAAGTGGTATGCAGACGATTCGGAACCGCTCACGGGATACGCGTATGGACGTAAGGATGATTGGTGTGACTCTAGTCAATTTCCTCAGTCGGTGATAGATCATGTAGACCGCATCGTCAAGGCGGTTCATTGGCGAGTCAAGCATAGTGGCCCTGATAGTGCCTACAATCTTGTCCGAGGGTTTTACGGTTAGTAGTGCAATTTTTTATCTTTGCTTCCTATCTTTCTCATGTAGTTCACTTATGCTTTCATTCTTCAGGTCTGAGGGAGCTGGCTGATGCCAACAGACCGCGAAGAAAGAAGATTGTGAAGACTGCTGCGGCGAAGACCGCTCGTGCTGGAAGCTCATCCGCGGCTGGAGCGGCGGCCGCGACTGACCGCCCGGCGGCCTCTCCGACCCGACCCGAAGCCGCCTCGCCTAGTGCGGCGGGAGGTGCTGCTATCCCCGTGCCTCGGGGGGCGGGGAAGAGAATTCTGCTCCCGGAGTCCACCGAGGTTGCTGCGAAGCGAGCCAAGGTTCGTGGCTCTCCATCGAAGGGTGCAAAGCGGTCTGATCGGCCAAATCTTGTGGAGGTTCCCCCGTTGGCGGCTACGGATACTGAGGCGGCCGAGCTTGCCCTGCACACCATCAGCGACCAGTTGGTGATGCCGAATCAGTACACCGCGTCTGCTCAGGGTAGTAACCGTCGACTGGCCGGGACCGCGTCGCAGCTCTTATTCGGGGTTAGTGTTGTTAGCTGTCTTGTCTTACTTAATTCCTGATTTATTGCTGACCGCTTGCTTGTTTGCCTGACAGGCGCAGATTGGGTTTTCCCAGATCATCCTCCTGAACGACCGCCTTACCAAGACGGTGGAAGATAATGCTGTCGAGATAGCGAACCTGAAGAGCAGCGCGGAGGAAGGAAGGGCGGCCCTGATTGAGGAGCTGCGCCCGCAGGTTGAGAAGGAGTTCGAGGAGCAGTTGGCTCAGAAGGATAAGGCTTTGTTGGTAGAGAAAGAAGCATCTAAAGCGGTTCGCGTGGAGAAAGACCGTCTTCAGGAAAAGGTGCAGAAGTCTGAGGAGATTGAGAGGACCTTGCTTGAGGAGCAGGATGTTTTGCGTAAGAAGGTAGATGAGCTTCAGTTAGAGAGGGCGACCTTACTGGTGAACCATGAGGCGGAGGTGACTGCCCTTCGGGCTGAAGCCGGGGCGGCTTACTTGCAATCTGCAGAGTTCATTGCTCAGGACAAGGCTAAGTACAAAAAGGTGGTGGGCGACGTGGTAGCTGCCATCCGTCATCTCTTTCGTGAGGAGTGTCCCGATGTTGACTGGGATTCTGACCGCGTATGGGATGCGGTTGGGCACTGGTCATCCACGGACGTGAACTCGGAGGCAGATGAGTCCGAGGAGGAGGGAGCAGAAGGTGGAGAGACCGCCGCCGAGGAAGGAGATGCGGCCAGTGGTGGCTCACCAAGACTTTGATTTCACCCTAATTTTCCTCTAAGACTTTTCGTTTTCTCGTAAGACTTTGTTTGTCTTATGAGTAGATATGCGGGTTGGACCGCATTTGAATATTTGTGTTATTTTGGAGGACATGTGTTGATAGACCGTGTTGGGACGGTTTTACATTTGCATGGCTGCGTTTGCCCTTCGTTTTATGGTAGCGTTTATGTCTTCCTGGCCTTGTGCAAAAATTAGTCAATGATCAGGCAATGGTTTTCGCGAAGGAAGCTAGCGATGATTAGCCGACGCGGGCTCTTTCTTATTGTTTTGGAGGCCGCGTTGGAGCGGTTATGGGCTTGACTGCCATTTCGCGAAATGTTTATATAAAGTGGGTCGCCACCTAGTGTGTACGCGGCTCTTATAGACTTTCACGGGACCCTTGCCCATTTGCGAGCTTAAGTGTGCGTGAACTAGGTGTGCGGCCTTGTGCAGCCGATGGAGTTCTTGCTCATTACTGGTTAGTTATGTATGGCCTCGAGAGAGTCGGAACCTTGGCCGATGATGGAGACAAGTGTATTACTGATGAGCAAAAGCGGTCACTTAGTAGCGACCGATACACTGTTTTAAGTGGAAAGAGGGTTCTCGAACCACTAAACAAGTTCTAAGCAAAAGAGGTTACCGTGTGGCAACCCCCACATGATTACAAGTGGCGGGCACTTCCCTGACCCACTAAAATGTCCTTGCGATAGCATTAAGATGTCCTAGACTACCTCTGAGTGATATTTCCTTAGGTGCATTCCGTTCCACGTTTTGGAGACCGGGTCGCCTTCCATGGTGGCAAGTCGGAAGGTGTTGGGACCTGTTTTCTCGCCAATGAGGAATGGACCCTCCCATGTGGCAGCCAGCTTTCCATGTTCGTCCTTTTTCTGGAAATTTCTTTTAAGGACCATGTCTCCTTCTTCGAGGGGACGCGGTCTCACCTTCTTGTTGTAGGTGGCGGCCACCTTAGCTTTCTCGCTGAGGATGCGCTCTAGAGCCGCGTCTCGTCGAGACTCGATCATGTCCAACTGATTCAAGAGCTTTTGGTGATTGGACTCTGGGCTGTATGCTTGGACGCGAAGGGAGGGGAGGTTCAGTTCTTCGGGCGCGACCGCTTCGGAGCCATATGTCAGAGCGAACGGGGTTTCTCCAATGGCGGTCTTGTGGGTTGTGCGATGCGC